CGCGCAGGGGTGCCCAAGTTGCGGGGCCCTGCCACTACCTGCAGCTTGGCTTCTAGAGGCTGAAACCCCCTCTCCTGGCGCTGAGCCAACAGGCTGAGCAGCAAGGACGTGAAACCAGCAGCTCCCAGCTCCGTCAGTGGGAAGTTATGTAGCTTGTTTCATTTTTGTCATCCAAACCTCACCCAGAGAGGAAGCCTGCCAGAAGCCACGGCTGCTTAGGGAAGTGGTAAGAGCCCGTGTGGCAGCACAACCCCCCAGGCTCAACCCTACAGCTCTCCCACCAGCTGAAGGGTCCTGCACCCACCCTGTGCCCCGGTGCTGCTCAGGCCAGCTCTGCAGCAGCAGAACAGCAGCAGCAGGTGCAACACACTCCCTTCTTCCCCAACCCAAGTGTCAAGCACTGCCTTGGCTTTGGGGGCCACTCAAGGCCCACCTACCAACCTCCTTGGCAAAGGACACGTCCTGCCTGCCTTCCAGCACCAGGTTTCAAAGGCTCCTTTTCAAGCCAAGTGCTTTTACTCTATTCCTTATGCCACAGCATCTCTTATTCTGCTCTCATTCCTCAGCACCTCCTGGTTTCTAACCACATCATTCCCCCTCCAGTGACCTCCACTGTCTCACCCCTGCCTGGAAGAATGTCTTGGCACATTTCACAACCCAGGGAATGCAAGGAGGGCAAGGCAAGCCCACCATCTCTTCCAGGCTCTTGTCTTCATCTCTCTGCCTACAGCACAAAGGTGCTGCTGGCTCTGTCAGCAAGCGACCACCAAACCCCACCTAGAGATGGCCCTTGAAATCCCATCGTTGATGGTCTGAAGGTTAAAACCTTCTTTTCACCCTCATAACTGCTCTTGCCTGGGAAGGATGCCAACAGAGCTGCCATGCCAAGCAAGGAAAGGGGCAAGAGCCCAAAGCTCCGGGGAGAGGACCTTGCCTGACCCTGGCATCAAGGGCATGTGGCCCAACACACTCTGCACTAATCCAGGAGCTGCCGTTCCCCCTGCCCAAGGCTTGTGGGACATCCAACCACCCTGGGCTCCCCATTCATCCAGCACCATTACAACTAGAAAAGCTTGAGTCGAGTCGTCCGAGCAGCAAATACTTCTCACTCCTGGGAGGAGAAACCAGAGCGCTCGACAGAGCAGAGGGGCGGTTGAAACCCTCTGGGAGAACAACAGCTCCTGTTCCCGCTGGAACACGGGTCCCAAAGGAACTTTTCGTGGCACTCTGAGCATCCCTCTCGGACCGGTCCGGGCTGGCGGGGGAAGAGCCGGGGCGGAGATGGACGGAGAGCAAGGACACCCCCCGAGCCGGATTTCCCCGGAGGGGGGGGACAAAAGCA